AAAAATAGCAACACAATTTCTGGTAGCACTTGTAAAAATTATAGCATCATCTAATATGAAAAATAGCATCACGCACAATTAAAAATAGCATAAAAAACGGTTCTCACGGTTCTCACACCAGGACTAAGTTTTATTTGAACCAACCCCTATATATATATATATATATATATATAGTAAGGTTTGTCATTGAATTAATATAGTAAGGTTTGTCCACCAAAAAAAATGTTGGTTACTAAATAGAGAAAGTTTTCTAAATATTATTTTTTACTCTTTTGATAATTTCCAAATACTTTCAATTAATTTTTTATTTCTACCTATTTTTTCATATTTTTATTTTTAGTTTTAGTGATGTAATATATTTTTTTCGGAACGATAGAAATATTATATAAAAGCGCACAAAAGTGCAAAAGTACAACCATAAGCTAAATACAAGCAGCCAACAGCTGAAAAAGACTGGGAGGACGGGATCAAATCCCGCCTAGAACCGACCCCAACGGAGTAATACTCGGAAACACAAAAACACAACTAGAAAACAACACACAAAGGCCCTAACAGGGTAATACCCGAGCGTCGAATCCCAACAGGATAAGAAGGTGACAATCGGGCTCACAGAAGCCAACGGCCCAAACCTAAAACACAAGAACAAACACAAACACATACGCAAACATCGCAAGACATGAACGACAAAAAACCAAAACTATTACTAATTAAAGCACATCCCTCCTTCACTAGAGACGCCCGAGAATGAACAGCAGACAAAGCCGACTTCAAGAAAAGATCCAAAGCACAGGAACTCCACCCGCCACTGCCTAATGCCTAGCAAAGATAAAGACCCGAGCCTCAAAACAGTCCAAAACGAAACCAACCCGCTCTCCAACCGCTAGAAACCAAAACGGACCCCCAACCGGCTAACACCACTAGCCAAATCCGTCACCATCCCGAAATTTTCTATCACCACTAGCCAATTCTGGACACGGTTGGCCTCCCTCTTACTCAGAAAGAGGAAAAGGGAGGAAGGGTTCGAATGGAATCAAGGCCCAACCTCGCAAAAACAACCCGAATAGTCGACAATCTCCTCTCAATCCAACACATAAGGTCAGAACCCCGCCCCCTCCGCCCCACGGCGCCAAAACCGGCGGGAACAGAACAAAAGAGACCGGCGACCTCAAGGCCGGGCGAGAAAAAAATCGCCCCTACCTGGGTTGTTGAATTGAGCAACCAAGCCACATCCAAGAATTGATGATGCATCCCCGAACCCCAAACCCGCAGGACAGCCGACTCCATCGCATAGAGAGGAGAAACCCTAGCCCACCCCGTTGGCTTGAGATACCGGATAAGAGCACCACAACCCCTAATTTGGATGCGCCGCGGGAGAGCCGTCCACCGGCGAGTCCGGACGACCACTGAAAGAGGCTCAAAACGGTGAGAAATTGAACGGAGAAGAAAGGGGTTTTTTTTCTGTTCGTCGCCTTATAATTATGATGTTATTTCAAGATTACTCAAATTGAAATACAAAAGATTGTTACAATGTATAATAGTAATAATATATATAATTTTATGAATTTTATTTAACATATAAAATAAATATATAATTTATCTGTAATGCACTTTATTCGTTACAACACCATCTATTTTTTAAGGTATTTTAACTTATGAATAACATACTACAAAAATATTAATAAATGTGCGTAATATTTCGGCTCAGTTATATCTCATGGTGGTATCAAGTCATCTTGCCAATTACATAATTCATTAATTAATTTAGATCTTGTAAAAAATGTAACATTTATTATTTTATAAATATGTATGAAGTAAGAAATAATAAATTTATCTTGAGTTTTATGATTTGGAATCATAAGTATTGTTATTTGTTATAAACATTTACTATATGAGTCGCATATTAATATTTTTATTTCATAAAATTAATTATATTTAGAAGAATTTTATTTGGATCAACAGGACTTATTGAATTAGGGCATTGCACATGTTTATTAGACTAATTTCACATTATTTCCAAAATCGCAAAAAACAAAAGAAAAAAAAAGTTGACATAACTTTTGTTGCATCTCAGGTAAAGCTGTTAAATTAAACAAGGAGCTTGTGAGCTCGGCTTGGCTCAGCTCGTTTATGGGCTCGAGCTTTTAAAGGTCGTTTGGTTAAAGACCGAGCTCGATTCAGCTCGGTAAGGCTCGAAAAGATGATTTTTTATGTAATTTTCTATAGCTAAACTCGTTAAAGCTCGATTTTGGCATGTTAAGGCTTGAGATAGGGTCGTCAATATTTATAAATGAGTCGAGCTCGAACTCGATTATGAGCTCGTTAAGAGCTCGAGTTCAAGCTCAAGCATGAGCTCGAACCCAGCTCGGCTCGTTTATACCCCTAAACCCAAGTGACCAAGTTATTAGTCAATTTAACCAGATGAAATCAATTATTGAAACTAAATATGGATTGCGATCTTTAGAATTCATTGTTCTAATAAAGATATACATTTGAAGTAATTAAAGTAATAATGCTATCATGAGGAAATGGTGATTAATATTATTTATATATTTCATTTACAATACGATAGTATTATTGTTTCCTTGTGTATCACACAGGCTACGTACTAGTGTATTTATATTGTTAAGATTAATTATGAGATATAATATTACTAAACTTTGATGTACGAAACTTATTTTTAAAATTTTAGAAATTTTAAACTTAATTGTCTGGTTCAGCAAATGACTCCTGACTCGACAGTCGAACTAGTTACTCGGTGGCCTACTGGGATTGATTTCCAAGCCAGACTTAAAAACTATGATATATACAAATATTTTTATTTTTAGAAAAATAATTCTATCTAATGAAAAACAAAAGTAAAATGACATCCCAAGCCAACTAGGTCAATGTCTGATCGATCAGGTCGATTTAGGGTTGATTGCTAACCGGTCCAATCATCTAAATCGGGTGGCCAGTCCGAGTTGAAAACCATTGAATTGAGCCAAAAATTCCTCCTATTGATTAATTTGTAACAAAAAACTATATTAATGCTCTTTTTTTTTCTTTAAAGAAGAAACACCCTGGAAGGATATGAGGTTAAGAATAGACCCTTAACCTATATATATAATCAAGACATTAAATGGGCTAAAAAATCATAAATCTACAATGTCCAAACAGCAAAATAAAAAACAAAGCCGAAAGCCAAAAAAAGAAAAAAGAAAAAGAAAGAAAGAAAGAAAGGAAAAAAACCAAAGAGAAAAGTCTAATGCTGGGATGACAATGCCCATGTGAACAGTCTGCACCACGAGTTGGCTAAAGCACAAAAAATGTAAACGACTACCCAAATATGAACGATGGGTAGCCAATCTGATCTATCCGCACAAGAGTACGGATACGGAGAGGATCATCGTTCGGCTGCCTCTGGGGAGTGGAGACACTGATGCAAGCGAGGAAGTCAGTGGGTCGGTTCCCCTTTGCGAAAGATGTGCGGTATTCGATAACAGACCGATTGAAGTGTGGATCTGATGCGCATGAGCGGAAGTTGAATCTGCCACGAGCCCTGATGGCCTGAGGTTAAGATGACCGCGACAGCGACAGCGACAGCGTCCAACTCTATCCAAATACGAGTAGAGATAGAAACAGCAATCTAAAGATCGATCTCAATGATTTTATAATATAAGCAATTCATCTGTCTTTATTTAATTATTCTTCACAGTGCATTTAGTTATGTGGTCCGCAGTAAATATTTGAGGTCAGAAATTGGTGTGTACGTCCCTCTGTGCAGTAAATTCCAAGGATAAGAACAATGTCAAAGGCATTTTCTACCTGTCAACTAGCCAAATTACTGTGCCCTCTGTCCAACATCCAACTGTAATCTCATTTCACTATAATTGCAGTCTGCACTCTCCCAGATCCCTTTTTTCCGTTACATTTAAAAAAATAAAAAAAATGTTTTGTAGTAGTACTTTTTTTTTTTTGGTTTGCTCTCAAGTCTCAACTCAATTTCTTAAATTGCTATGATATGATTTCACTGTAAAATTAACATCCCCTCAAAACAAAGTCATTGTCCGCAGTTTAACTAGTTAACACGATCTTATTGGTGTTACCTATAGAATGTGTGTAATTCAATTTCTTAAGGCTTTAGTCTTTTTCATTGTACTAAAAAAAAATAAAATTATGACCTATTTTACCAATTTAGATAAATATTTATAATTATAATATAAATAATGTATAAAACTGATACTATAATTGATTAAAATTTAATAACAACGTAAATATTTTTAAAATTAAGAATACAACTTTAATTTATATTAAAAACTTGATAAAATATAAATAATTTAAAAAAAAAATCTAATAGATCCCGTATTTTAGTCCGTCATTGTCAATAAAACAGGTATAAACTGATATTTTAACAAAAATATTTTTAAATGATTATTATTGACCAAATTACCCTTATACTATACAATATTATATGCTGATATGATATTTTAGACATTGATTTCACCATTCAAATTTTCATCAATTTTTTCTGACTACATATCCCTTGCATAAAAAATTCTATGAATTCATCCGACTGACTCTAAGTAAAACTACCCCTTGAATAGCTCTGAATTAAGAAAGAAAAAAAAACAAAAAAAGATCGCGAATTATTAATCTACAGTTCTACACATGATCGAATAAATATTTTCATTTTCCTAACCGACAATCTCATTTTTCCCAACCTCTTCACCGATACTGATTTTTTTTAATTAATTAATTTTTTTTTTTAAAAAAAAAATGAAATCCCTCATTTCCCTCACATCTCTCACCTTCCAAGTTCCACCATATTAACATTTTTGTCACTGTACAATACCAAATTTTATTTCTTTTTTTTTTTGGCAAGTTTTTCATTTTAAAAAGAAAACTAACACGAAACAGAGCCTGTTTCACTCTTTCATCATCATCAACATCATCATCATCATCATCGACCATCATCTCATTTCTCTTTTTCGTCCGCCAAAACCCATTAAAATTAAACCAATTCAATCGATCCTGCTGAGCCCAAGTCGATTAAGAGCGGCGTTTCTGAACCCTTCGTTCACGTTAGCCTGCTGTTGTTGTTGAAGATGACGATGATTGATATATAGCTGCTGTTGCTGTGGATGGTGATGGCGTTGCTGCTGTTCCATCATGTAACTCCTCACCTCCGCCCGTATCATGTCCTGCATCACCGCCATCAGCTCCCTGCTGAACGGCACGAAAACCTTGTCCGCCTTCTGCTCCACCGCCGCCGGCGGCGGCAGCGGAGGCGGCGCAAACCCGGATACGCCGGCAATCGGAGGACTTTGAGGCAGATTCTCGGGGGCGACCGCCGGCACGGCGTTCGGCGGTACCGGGGGCGGTGGCGCGGTGGGCAGAATCGGCAGCATCTTGATCTGACCGGTTTTCGGTTGAGATGATTCGGCCGGCTCGACACCGGGAAGGGAAAGGCTCAGGCTGGTCGCCGGCTCGGGGGCGGAAGACGCCGGTTCGATCAGAACGCCGCCGGTTCTCGCGACCGGTTTGAAAACGGGCGAGATGAACGGCAGGCTCGAGTCGCTAACGTCGGAACCGGACGGGCTTCCCGGGCTCAAATACAGGCCCGAAACTGGGACGCCCGACCCGGCGCTGACGGATCTCTTCAACGGCCTGTCGGGTCGAACCAGTAAGTCGGTGCCGTCCTCGGAGCTGAGGGAGGAGCACTTGCGCTTGAGAGTGGAGTTCCAGTGGTTCTTGATGGCGTTGTCGGTCCGGCCCGAAAGTAGGCGGGCTATGGTGGCCCATTTGTTGCCGAACCTGGCGTGGGCCCGGATGATTGTCTCGTCCTCCTCCGGCGTGAAGGCTCGGTGCTCCACCTGGGGGGAGAGCTGGTTGCACCACCGGAGGCGGCAGCTCTTGCCGGATCTGCCGGAGATGGATTTGCTGATGAGGGACCAATTCCTCGGCCCGTGCTTCTTCACCAGCTGCTGCAAGAGCTCGTCCTCTTCCGGGCTCCACGGGCCCTTGATCCGATCCATATCCATTTTTCTACAGCTACTACTATTGTTCCCTTCCATTTTTTCGATTTTTGAATTCAGAGAAACATAAACGAGAAGCAAGATTTAATTTTTCTATTTGTTCTTTTTTATTTTATCTGTGGCTATGGAGGACAGAAGGGTTTATATATATACGTGAGAGTGAGAGAGAGAGAGAGAGAGAGAAGGAGCGTTAATAAGGGTAAAAAAAGCAGAAAGCGGTTGAGTAAATTTGGGATACAGCTGGCTAACAGACACGAGGCGCTCTCTCTCTCTATCTCTCTACACTGATTTACACACACATACCATAACAACCATATAAGCTTTCATAATAGATTGATTTTAATGTTCACTCGCTTTTTAGTTGCGTAAGCTTCACACACTGTTTTGAGTTTTGACAATCTGCCCCTCGCACTCCACTTTTCTTTTTATGGAAAACGGAACCCATCTATTACTCGCATAGCCCCATAAGTTTGGTCTAATTCCAATTACCTAATCTAATCTTTGCTGGACTCAACACTATGTGATGATTCATAATTCATAATCAACACTTAGGGCTCAAAAAAGTTTTGTGACGCAGAATAATGTTTAATATTATTATTATTATTATTATTATTATTATTATTAGTAGTAGTAGTAGTAGTATTTTACATTTATTATTATTATTTAATATTTATTAGCTTTTGCTTGGTATATAAATTAATCTTGGGGTTTTGAGAGACTTATCTAAATGATTCATCTTCATTGATATTCTTTGGTTGATTTTGAATAAGAATATACAGTTTATCGAGAGAGTTCTCTTCTCTTTATTCACGCTACATCATTTTCCTAGTTTGATTTTATGCTAATTAATGCTAAAAACTAACATTAATAATGCAATGCTCATATTATTCAACTTAATTGTATCACGTACTCTTCAATATTACATACTAATAATGTTTGCTTTAGGCGATTTGGACATTATGTATGTTATTCAGTCAAACTTAGTGAATGACAAATCATATATATACAATTTCAAATGTATACCTTAATACATGTAATATTGTGCACAAAAATCACGCGGTGCTAAATTTCCCCTTAAACATGGGTCACGCCTATGAAATGACCTGCCTACGAACAACTCAAGATAACTATATCAAGAGAGTAAAAAAACATCCAACGTCTGTAAAGATCGTGTTAAAAAATTAAGGAGGTTGATTCTATGTTCAAAGGGTGTCAAGATTACAAGCATCATGATGTTGCATTTGATTGTTCTATATCAATTTGTAAGAGATGTTAAGCTTATGGTACAATCATCCTTATCAACATTCTCCTTAGTTTATTATGTATACACACTACAAGAATAATCATTTTTAGTGACGATAATTTTTGTCGCTATGTCGTCAGAAAAAATACCGTCGTTAATAATGTCCTAATATTGTCGTTATATGTTCGAATGTCGTCACAATAATACCTCTTATTGTGACGGTATTTTTTGTGACGACATAGCGACAAAAACTATCGTCACTAAAAATGATTATTATTGTAGTGACATTAAGACTTACCTCCCATTGCATCTAATTTAGTTCAAGTTTAACACATGTAAAAAAGTATTACGGAGTTTTTATTAGTACCCAATTATGTTCGAGCGTAGCATCCTTTGTTCATCATATGTTTAATCTTACAATTAGACATCAAAAAACATATAGAAGAATTTTTCCCCTCTATTTACTGGTAACAATTTTTTTTCCTTTAACGTTAATTTGCATCTTTTTTAATTAATGTTAATAATTTGTATTAGGTATCAATGATGTTGAAACACTTTGAGAAGTAGTGATTCTAATTCATATTTGTGCTTTGACTTTTTTTTTTNTGAATCACTAAATACAAGTTATATGGAATTTATCACATTAATTTCTTATGTTCTTTTCACACTTTGTTGTCTATTTATATTTCTTTCAGTTTATGATTAATTAACTTTGAGTCGAATTTGTTGTGTGTTTAATTACTTTCATCTAACTAACAACACGTTAATATTTTGCAACATCAGGTTAATTTTAAAATTCAATGTCTCCTTGGCCTACCTCAAATTCAAAAGGATTTGAACGGACAAAACATTAATTTATTTCTACATTTTCCGATTGTAACAATCCAAAGTCCAATTATTAGAATACTAAATAAATCATTGCAATAAGTTTCTTCAAGTCAATTCAAAGTTTCAAACACAATATTCAGCTTCAATCTATTTTGAGATTTTCAATGAACAGTACAGTTTCAATGGAGTCATCCTTCCATACATAAAACTACATGACAAGTAAACTATATCAGAGAAATGTTATGGAGCCAATGGTTGGTTTCTTTATGGAGTCAACCACCAATGTTATAATGCCACGTAGACATGTAGAGTTAGTTAGTTAAAAAATGTATTTAAGTTTTTATAATTAGTAATTTTTACTTATTATTTATAGAAGGTTGGCTCCTAAATTAAATTGGCTCCACAACAAAAATGTTCTATGTAATTCAGGCCCTCATGGTTGGAATGATTAAAAATATTTGATAGTTGATGACTGATAATATGTATTTATTAATTGATTGATTTAATTGAATATTTATTTAAGTGAATGCTTTTGATAAAATGAATGATTTAGATAGCTGATTAAATGTTAACTTATCAAATAAATAAATAAATAACAGGAATAATATAAAAAATAATAATAAGTAATCGTAATAAATTGAAAAGAATTAAATGTATATACAGGTAATTAACGTTCATTTTTTGAAAAAGAAAATCTTTATAAAAATTATTTCGACCTTAATTCTCAACTTCTTATACTTCGTAATTTTATATGTCAAATTTCGGTACTTCAGGTTTATGTAGATTCGAACTTATATAAATGCCTACTAGAACACTTAAAATATAAAATATTTATAAACTTAAATTATAATTATAATATAACTATACAATGATTTTTTTAATTGTTTTAAATTTTTGTAAGTATTATATATATCATTGAAAATATTTAATTTAACATCCATATTGCATATACAATAAATTTTTTAAATATATTTATAAATAAAAATTAAATTATTTAATAAATTATAATTAAAATAATTTTTTTTATCAATTAAATAAATTTATCTATCGATACTAACTATGATGAGATTCAAAAAAATCATTGTAACATATATAGGATGAGCAAATCGTGATGATATTTAGATTAAAAAAATCAATAAAACATGCAAATTTTAAGAGTATTTTGAAAATAGAATAAAAAATATTATTTTTAGAAAAATAAAATATTAAAATTTTCAATTAATTTTGTACACTTGGACATGTTATATATCAATTTGGTGGTTGCATAATTTTAAAGTCAATTTCAGAGTGCTTTAAACTAGTTTAATTTAGACTTTTGTCCATAGTTTTTAAACTTCATTCGAGAATCGACTCGGACAAGCCGATACATTGGCCTCCGATTCAATCCCCGAGTCGTCGAGTCTGAACCGGATAATTAGTTTTAAAATATAAATTATATATATAGTATTTTTATCATATAAAAATGTACATAAAAGTAATAGAAATAAATATGTTTTGTATAAATTTTATACATCAAACTAGTGCGTGGCCCGTGCGATGCACGGGAAAACAATATTACGATTGTATTATAAATTAAATATATAAATAGCATTAATCATGATTTATCTATTGTTTTTAAATTAAACCGGGTTGGACACAGTCCGACCGGATGGACCGAGAACAGGTTTGTAACCAGTCTAGTTCGCTTGAATAAAATATTTGCTCTTGAATCCATCAACACCAGTCGGTTGGACTGGTAGGATCGATACAATTTTCTAAATAAATTTTGTTATATTTAAAATTATTTTGAATAAAAATTACATATTTAAATAAAATAGAAATTTACAAATTATGTATCAATTAGTTTAAACATTTGAATTTATAAATTGTTTAGATATCTAAGTAACACATTTTATTTAAAATTATTACAAAAAGTACTATATATATATATAAATGTTTATAAATTAAAATCTAAACAAACCACAAATGATTTAATAAAATAGCTTGATCGTTTCGATGACGGTCCAGTTCTGAAAATCTTATATTTACTGTATATTAATAGATATCAAAATAAAATATTATTTAATTCACATAAATATTAATAAATGATATATAAATATTCATAAATCATTAAACATGTCGCCATAAAAGTATTGTTTATACGATTATTTAAAGTTTGGACTTCATCACATTCACGTAATAAAATATTTTCAATATAAAATTTATATTTAGGTTCAATAGTCGATTTGGTATGGTCGAACTGATACATAACTTAGTCACCTGAGACCAACCAAGTTGTGTCAAGTTTTTTGACTATTTTAAATATCACCTAAAAGTAATTCAATCAACTTGGGCAGTACCCTTATTCAATCACTCGATTGATCCAAAGAAATTTTCTTATTTTCTTTAAATATATTTAATTTTATGAAATAAAAATATTTTATGATTCATATAATAAATGTTTACACTAAATGATAGTATATTAAGATTATAAATTATATATATAAAGATGAATTAATTATTTTTACTTTATGCATATTATTAAAAATATAAACATAGTAATTTTTAAAAAATTAAGATTAATTGATTGATTATGAAATTTAAAGAATATTTTTAGCGTTCAATATTTTTTTTAAAGGCACAAATATAAAGACAGAGATTCTAAAACTTTTGTTATATTTTGAATTGGAATTTTGTAAATATAGAGACCGCGATTTTAATATTGTTTGTTGTTTCTAAGAAAAAAATAAAAATAAAAATATACACACTTAATAGATCTTATTTGGATTTTTTAAATAATAAAATGAACTAAAGCTTAAAATTTAAGGTAACATTTAATGATATATGATTTTTAAAGAAAAAAAAAAGAAAAATAATAAAACTTACTATTTATAGACTACATTAAATTCTGACCTATTTTTTGCTACTATTTTTGGTAAATGGTAATTCTTATTATATATATATAGATTATTAATTGTATTTTATCTTA